GTGGCCTGCCTTGCCAGTGCTGGTAGGGGTGGGAGGTTTGTTTTGCTCCTCTGGGAGTTCCTTGATTGGCATATGTTTGCTGCTTGATTGTGTGCCTGGCAGTAATCTTTGCTTATCTGGGTGATGATTGCTGGTACAGACACATAGAGATTAACAGCATCTACATACTATTAAAAAGAGACAAAAGACCAGAAGATCGCCTCACCAGTAATCATCACCAGCAATCATGCTGCTTTCATCACTCTCTTCCCCTGCCTCCCCATGGACACTGACACTACTGTCTGAAGGCGTTAGGCTACGATTCCCATCAATCCCAGCCATTGAGCACTGGTTGAGAAAGACTGATATAATTTCTAGGTTAGCTTTTGTAGGGTAATTATGAATTAACTGTGGAGGTGTGTGGCCCCAGTTGAGTGACACATGACTTCTGCCAACCAAAGGTCATGCTTAAAGCAGAGAAAGGGTAAAGAGCCATACCTGATATTGCAGGAAGCTTTGTTTAATAGATTTTTTTTTTCAAACAAGCCATCAATTTATGCATGAGAAGCTTCTTAAAAATCCCTCCTCTTCTCTTTGATTATTGCCATCATGCTTGAAGTATATTAAGTACAGAACTGTACATTACAGAAAGAAAATTGTGCATTCTACTGGATAGCTGATAATCTAAATTTTAGAAAAATGTAGGTTCTGAAGGAAGTGAACCATAGAAAGCTGATAAAACTTCTGCACTCCAGATGAGAAAGTCCATGGGGTCATTTCCTGTTACCCTCTTCTCTAAATAATTACGCAATACCAGTTCTTTTATGTGCTACTAAACATAAAACAGCATTCAGGTATTTCTACCTTGTACTTTTAAATATCTTTCTATTGCCATGCTATTTTTTTCTTTCAATTTACATTTTTGAAAGTGATGGGCTCCATATCTACTCCTTAAACACAGTGCTCATTAATCTTAAATCTGTGGATACAATTGATCAGATAATCTCATTGACAATAATTAATAATATTAAAATCAAGTAATCAAATTAACTATGTGATAACTAGTTCATCTGAAAACAGAGGTATCTGTTATCTATAGATCACTAGTTAATTTAATAACAGAGATAACTATGTGACATAATTATGTCTTTCCTTTACTTTTTTTCTCTTTTACATGGATGGCTCCATGAAGTCATTAGCAACCAGAGAGATTTTATTTCTTTTTCTTTTTCCTTTTTTGCAGGCAGTCCCTCTGGCCACTGTATGATCACTGGTGCAGCCCTGTGGCCAGTTGTAAGCATTCTGACCAGACAGATAGCCCAGAAGTCCAAAAGGTATATGCTGACATCTTGACAATTCTTCCGTTCTGACTTACAGTAATTGCTTGTTTACATACTAATATATTCATTTCTTTCATGAATCTTCTTCCAAGGAGTACAAGATAGCATATAGACTTTTCTCCTTAAGTCAGAACTGTTGGTTAAGAGTATCATGCAGATTTCTAAAAGTATACTTTTTGTGGAGTTGCTGTGACTTTTATAGGATTCAGGAGCCTTTTTCAACCTGCAATAACTCACCCCGGAAACTGTCAATAGATCCAGATCTATGTCCTTCCAGCTTTTGCTTCCAGCAAGACTGGGCATACCCTATCACCACAGTGATGGTGGGAGTAATGTTGCGAAATAGGCAAGGACACATCATACACATGTGCCAGGCAAAGATTTGGATTTCTTTTTTATGTTGAGATTGGAGCCATGGATTGTTTCTTTCAAATACATCATGTCTGATTGGTTGATTGATTGATTGATTGATTGGACGTATATTCTGCCTTTTCTTCTGGTGCTTAAAGTAATATAGATAGCCTGCTCTCCACCCATTTTTTTCTCACCATTAGTGAGGTAGTGTAGGTTGGGCTGAGAGGTAGCCACTGGCCTAAACTCAGTCAGTGAAGTTTTGGGGTCATAGCTGGGTCTCGAGCCCCGAGGGTCACAGCTGCTACATACCTTTGGCTTTACCCTATACTTTGTGAATGTTTTGTCTCTTAAAATGGTGGGAAACTACTGCTGCTTGCTGTGGAGGCACTGGGGCCTTGATTTGGTCTGCAGTATTGACTCCTTTAAAAGCCTCTTGTTGAAGTATGAAGCACTGACTCTCTTCCAATTCCCTGCATGCAGATCTCCTGCCATCACCACTGTGACTGAATAGCAGGGCCACAACATTGTATGGTTGACACCACAGCAGGGAAAGTCCCAATGGCTTTTCCTTCCAGATCCCTCCATCTCCTATCAGGCAACCTCAAAATCTATGCACATTTGTCAGTTATAACTTTTTATGAACTGTTACTATCATCTGTGCCTGGTTCCCTC